GTGCAGTTTTCCCCTTTGCATCCCTGCCCTCAATCACTGCAGCTGGCAGTGTTGGGAAAGGAAAAGGGTTTGTGGAGTGGAGAGTCTTCCCTAGAATGGCAGTTCTCTTCCTCTTAATGTTGTCTTTCCCATTTTATAATAAAAGAGCAAACATTAGAGAAGAGTTGGGAGGGAGCTAAGGCTGGTCAGGGATTCTAGTTTGCCTGGTTCTAGGCCGACCATGTTACAGATTTATATAAATCAGTATTATTGGTTTTATGAACATTTGAATTTATACAAAGGTTCTCATAAACCACATCTAAGGTCCATAAAAATTGTGTTATATGTGCATGCAAAGTAATACAGTGGGCAGGTGAATTCCATGAAAATTAGGTTGTAGAAGGCTTTGCAGAATGGAACTGTTATGTAAGTATATGTGTGGAGGAGGTATTCCCTGTTTGCTGAATTCTGAATCCCCTGTTTTTTCCCTTAACTGCAAGAGAAAGTGAACTACACCAGTACAACAGGGGACAAAGCCCAGCCAGCAGGAGCTGCTCTGAGGGGGTTGAGTTCCACTTCAGAAGCATAGAGAAGGGCAAAGAACGCCATTCAGTTCCCTGCTGTCCACTTGTAGAGACAGATGATAATGATAATAACTAGTTAAAGTTGTACGGCTGGTGTATAGAGGGCTTTGTTTCTAGAACACATTGCTGCTGCTGAGGCAGTGGCTGATTCAAGAGCAGCAGTAGAGAAGGAGGTGGTAGCACCAGTGGTGGCAGCTCTTCCCTCATTTGCTCCTTCCTCCTGTACTGCTTTTCTGCTAGAGCTCCTACAAAGAGCCTGTGCTTGGGCTACCAGGTCAGGGCTGCAAACATTCCATTCCTCATTGGGCGGAGCACCCAAAAGATAACACAACACTCTTTTTGCTACATGTAGCAAAATCTGGATATTTACATCCCAAATCTGGTAGCCTCACCCTAACCAGTTTTGTTGAGTGTGTGGGACAAATAGTAGGTGGCAAGGTGGAACCTCATATGCTTCTGGGCCCCAAAGTGGTGGTTTACGTCACAGTGTTACAAAGATGTTGGCTAATATCCAAATTAGTTGAATATGCTTTCACACAAGTTAGAAGAAGGGCCGAAGTGCTGAGTTCTTTCAATGGTGGAGCTTAGAGTCTTTAAGAAATGTTTCTAATGGAAATATAACAGGAGGTGCTTTTTTTTTTTTTGTCTCAGCTACCTGTTAAATATGTTTGCCTTTTCTTTTAGGATACTGTGAACCACTTGCTACTTATCTTCATTGACGATAGTCCAGTGAGTACTATCAGAAAAAAATTGTAGTGATTGTGAAATCATACAGTTCTGCACCTGGATGCTGAATTTTTTTCTGTTTTCTTCTTGCAGCCTGAAAAAGCAACAGAACCTGCTTCAGCTTTGGTTCCTTTCTTGCAGAAGTTTGCAGAACCTAGAAACAAGAAATCTTCTGTACGTTAAGTGTGAAAAAATGCATGTTAAGTGTATATGTCTTTAGTTATAAAATGATGCTATGGAAATCTAGAAATAAATTCCATATTGAATCTTCTATTAAGGCCTTGTACTTTGAACTGAAAGAATTTGGAGACAAGCAGGATCTTTTCTTTCTATTTATGAGTTTTTTGAAGAAAGAAGGCGCAGTACATGTATTACAGTTTTACCTGGAGTTAGGTAAGAAATCCCTGCCACTATGTTATTTTTTTAGTTACATTAAATTAAAAAAAATTGCATTTTTACTTAGAAGTTGTAAAAATCACAAAAAATTGGTATTGCTATGCACTTAAGGCTGTGCTAAACAAAACAAAAAAGGGTATAAAGTAGCTTCCACACTAAAGTTCATCATGTAATACATAAAATCATAAAAGAGGATGGAAAGGAAGAAGGAAAACAAGGGAAAAACTAATTCCTAAAGTGCTACAAATTTACATTTCAGCAGTTTATTTAACTCCTGAATGTTTAACATTGCAAATGTAAGATTGGAGAAACACAGTTTTTTTGCTGAAGTTTTTCAGATTATGTATCAAAATCAGATTTCTTAAATAAAGGTACTCTGATTTTTTTTTTTAAGTGAGCTGACATAGACTCCTTACCGTTCATTGCCATCACGGAATATAAGAATATAAGGCTCTTTTGGATGAAATAGAAAGCCTGTCTAATGCAGCATTCCGTTTTCTGTAGTAGCTGTTGGATGCCAGTTGGAAGCTCCCACTCAAGGGGCTTAAATCTGTATCCTGCCTTTTGTGAAATAATGGTCTCCTGGCCTGGCAAAAACATGAAGCTTTTCCCCCTTGTAAAATGTTAGATTAGTCATTTAGGCAGGCTGTCCTTTCAGAAGCAAAAACATTTTTCTGTAATCTGAAGGGGGAATTAACATTTTGAGAGTTTTCTTCCCTCTAATCACTCATACACAATTTGGCTTCGCTTGACTTTTTGCCTTGTGAATCACCTTAAATCAACCTCTGACTTTGCTAATATCAAATCTAGTTTTTTTTTTAACTTCTGCTCTGTGATGCTGCCGTTGTTGCAGATAAGAGAGTCTTCAGTTTCGTTTACAAGTGGTACTAGCGGAAAGCAGTGGTAGCAAAGTGTCCCTTAATGTAGTAGCCCAAAAGTCCTCTGGATTATTTGCATTCCATAGGTTTCTGAGGAATCTAACTGTACATAAAACTCTGGGAAGGTCTAGATTCGTTCATATAAAGTTGGATGGAATCTCGTGTTGTCTCAGGGAGCCACAGAATCTTCATACTGGCCAAATTCAACTCTGGATTTAGCATATTCTAATGCATATTCCTTTCCTTGGAAATGAATTTCTCTGGTTCCTTGTGGGAGAGGTGATGTCAAGTAATTTCTAGAGAATGCACAGATTCCTGATTTGGTACTAAAGTAGTGTTACTATTGAAGTAGCAGTTGATGAAACAATTATTGAGGATATTTTTCTTAAACAGAGGATTAATCAATTTGCATTTTAAACATTTTAGGTTTTTGTCTATTTTTAAATATCTGATTACATGGTAATATATTACAGAAAGTTTTGTACTTCGTGTCTTGAGTTTTTTTCTTTTTCTTTTTTCCCCAGAATAATTCCCTTTTTATAGTTGTTTTTCTGGCTTAGCCGATAGCCAGAAGCAGCTTAGGAAAAAGCACTGAGAGAGGCAGTGCTTTAACTAGGCTGAAACTTTAGCTTTCTGTATGGTCAAAGATAGAAGTCAAAGTCATCAGTGACGCATCCTATCCTAGATTTTACAGGAATGGAATATATGGCAGGGATCCCAAAGCAGATTGGGTATAACTAGTTGGGGTTTCTGTTATTATCATAATCCAGTGTTTATAGATTTAATAGGTAAGATTCTCAGAGTATATAAAGGGCATTTTGAACCAAGGAATCCTGTCAGTGTTCTGAACTCAATACGTTTCTTTATTTTTTCCTCCCAATCAACAGAGCAATTTAATAATAGAATTTTGCAGGCCGAGTTATCAGATTCTGAGAAAATGTCCCTTCATGAAGAAGTCAAGAAAATCTATGAAACATATTGCTTAGATGAAAGCGTTGACAAAATTAAATTTGATCCTTTCATTGTGGAAGAGATACAAAGTAGTAAGTGAAATCTAAAGGAAAATGTATTTGATGTTATTGCATTTTTTTTCTGTATACTGTTGGTACTTGTAGAATAATACAGATGTTGGTCATGAATATGCTTTACCAATAATTTTGTCCAACATGGGAATTTGGGGCATAGTTGTACCATTACAGCTATGGGGAGGTTATCTTGGGAAAGGCTGATCTACTCAGTGGGCATATAACAGGGACATTCTAGCATTCCCTAATTATCAGAAAACATGCTCTGTCTTTGGACCTTGAGCAGCCTCCCAACACTTTCCCATGAAGTGGGAAAAGAACAGATGTGGTGACTTAGTAAAATTCAAGGTTGACTTCTGATGACTTCATGGAAATGTCCATGTAACGTTCTTGACCACAGTACAGAAGTAGTTTGCAATGGCCTTCTTCCAGGATGTCCTTTCAATGTCCTAGTCTAACTTACAGATCTGCGATTCCTTGGAGGACTCCCATTCAAGTGTTTGTTTATTTATTGGGCTACCCAACTTGCAAATAGTTGTAAAAACATAAAAAAATAAATAACAAAGCACACCAGACACAAAGGATCATCCAAGTTCTCCCAGGCCTCATTCTGCTTAGTGTCTAAACTCAGACGAGATCAGCCAAGTGCTGTTGAGACAGATAACTTAATCCTGAAATATTTAGCTTTCCAATAAGTATTTTCATATTTGTTATTGACATGTCTCACATTTTTATCTGTAGTTGCTGAAGGCCCCTATGTAGAAGTTGTGAAGCTGCAAAAAATGCGGTGTTTCTTTGAAGCCTATGAACAAGTTTTCTCACTCTTAGAGAGTGTCTTCATACCCAAATTCTGCCATACATATGAGGTAACAATTATTTGTTTATATTTGAACCACCTCAGTTTATATTTTTAACTGTTTTACAGTGTTACTTTTTGCAGTTTTCAGGCTCAAGGAGCCTACTTGCTTTCTGTCCCTCCACTGGCAGAATTCTAGAATGAAATAACCACTCCATTTTAGCTCTAATGTCTGCATGTAGCCATAGAGATAGGCAGGCTGAAGGGGAGAAAAAGCAAGCTAAAAGTGGTCTGTACCGAACTTTCTGTTCTACTCTTTTTAGAAAATTTTAATGTATTGGGGAAAATGATATTTCCAAAATGATGCTGGAAAAGAACTACAGCAGAGATCAGAGTAGAGAAATTTGAGTGTTACCTGCAGGGGTAGATGTTTTTGTGTATCAAAAAGAAAGAACCGTGTTTTCAAATATCTCTCTTAAGGTATGCATAATTAAAATGCAAGGAATTGTGCAGATGATCAGTTTTGCTCTATAGGTACTATAATGTATTTAAGGTTTCTTTTCCAGATTTTGTCTAAATTTAGACTAAATCAGGAACCTAGCGTAATAAGACTTTTCTTCTCCTGGATAAGGGCAATTTATGTTAAATTGCTTTAGTGCATAACACTGAAAGCTTGACATCAAGGTTGATGCTTTTCTTATTTTTAGCACACACGTACAGACAAAAATCCAAACCCATTAGTAAGAAATAGATTAGCAGGTCATTGTGGAACAGTATGTTCAATAACTTTCTCTCCAGACTTCTTTTTCTTTGTACCATACGTATTTTTATTTTGTAGCTGGCCACTCCTGAACTGACTGGGGTGGTCTTGGATTTGGTGTTGAAACATTCTAGAAAGGTGGCCCTGTGATTCCAATATCTGTGGCCAAAGCTACTATATACGAAACAGCTCAGACCTTCATGACCGTTATGACAATAGTCGGCTCTCCCAACTTATCAAACTATGTAATAACTCACACTTCAGATAAAGATTTTTCTGTTGAACAGGAGATACAGTGTTCTGAAGATGGAGTTATATCTACTCCTATGTCACAGTTAGGTTATATACAGTGGGGCAAAAAAGTATTTAGTCAGCCACCAATTGTGCACGTTCTCCCACTTAAAAAGATGAGAGAGGCCTGTAATTTTCATCATAGGTATACCTCAACTATGAGAGACAAAATGAGAAAAAAGTGACCAAATACTTATTTTCCACCATGATTTGCAAATAAATTCTTTAAAAATCAGACAATGTGATTTTCTGGATTTTTTCCCCCATTTTGTCTCGTGACCAAATACTTATTTTCCACCATGATTTGCAAATAAATTCTTTAAAAATCAGACAATGTGATTTTCTGGATTTTTTCCCCCATTTTGTCTCGTGACCAAATACTTATTTTCCACCATGATTTGCAAATAAATTCTTTAAAAATCAGACAATGTGATTTTCTGGATTTTTTCCCCCATTTTGTCTCGTGACCAAATACTTATTTTCCACCATGATTTGCAAATAAATTCTTTAAAAATCAGACAATGTGATTTTCTGGATTTTTTCCCCCATTTTGTCTCGTGACCAAATACTTATTTTCCACCATGATTTGCAAATAAATTCTTTAAAAATCAGACAATGTGATTTTCTGGATTTTTTCCCCCATTTTGTCTCGTGACCAAATACTTATTTTCCACCATGATTTGCAAATAAATTCTTTAAAAATCAGACAATGTGATTTTCTGGATTTTTTCCCCCATTTTGTCTCGTGACCAAATACTTATTTTCCACCATGATTTGCAAATAAATTCTTTAAAAATCAGACAATGTGATTTTCTGGATTTTTTCCCCCATTTTGTCTCGTGACCAAATACTTATTTTCCACCATGATTTGCAAATAAATTCTTTAAAAATCAGACAATGTGATTTTCTGGATTTTTTCCCCCATTTTGTCTCTCATAGTTGAGGTATACCTATGATGAAAATTACAGGCCTCTCTCATCTTTTTAAGTGGGAGAACTTGCACAATTGGTGGCTGACTAAATACTTTTTTGCCCCACTGTATACAGTTGACATCTAGGTCAGTAGTTAATATTTTCTAGCGAAGTTAGGGGGACTGGTGAGATTATTGTTCCTTGAAGTTATAGTGGATTCCAGTAGTTCTTGGTAGATTTTCTAGCTGCTATGACTGTCAAATCCTGATTGCTGTATGGAATACTGTATGGAAATTATCCAAGCAATTAATATGTTTGCTCCTGAGGCCAGTTAGGGTTTTGATATACATATGTGCTAAGGACAATGCAACGATCTAGGAGATGACTGGAATTCACCTTAAATTGCCCAAATGCATGAAAGAGCTCACTGCTGAACTCTGTGGCAACAAGAGGGGCAAGGAGGTGTTTTTTCTCCTCAGTTGCATCTTCTCATTATTCTTGAGTAGTTTTTCTCAGTCCTTTGGGGGGTTTTGCATCCTAATCAACTGGGAAATATGATCAAATTCTTGGGAGCATGCAGTGATGTGTTTGCTAGGCATTTGGGGGAACAGAGTAACTGATGATTAATCCAACTAACTTGGAGGAGCTGCTGTTAGGTGGGTTTGTCAGGATAGGACAATGCTATTCAGTATTCCTGAAGTAGTTACGCTTCTAAAAAAATCAAGTGTGAAGATTGTAGAGTCACATGGACCCATTTTTGTCAGTAGAGGCACATGTGAAATAAATATCTTTAATAAGCTTAGAATGCTACACTGGTTATTAACTTACTTATGCACTTACAAAAAGCCAGGATTCAGCAATCCGTGCTCTGATAACTTAAATTCCTTAAATAAGCTTAAATTATTGCAGTGCGTTATTGTGGACCTTCCTTAAAAAAATAATAGAGAGATAATAATGCAGTAAGAATACTGACAGGAATTGAGCATTATGATCATATTGTGCCACTGTTGTAGTACCTGCACTAGCTACTAATTCTTGGTCCAATTCAAAGCACTGCTTTCAACCTGTAATGTCTCTATAGGTTTAAGAGGAGTGCCTCTTCCCTAATACACAGGCTTGTGAAAGTCTTTTCCAGTAGAGTTTCTTAGTTTTATAGAAGTCCACCAGGATGGATCCTAAAGTCTTCTTGGTATCAGGCAAATACTTGTTTAATCTCACTCTTTTTTTTTTATTGTCATAAATACTTACTATACATTTTTAAAAATATAATGCTATATCAGGAAATAGGTTTAAATATTTTAGTTGCTGTCTGTTATGTTTTAGTCTCTAATAGATTTAGATACATTTATTGTCCTATTTTTGATGCTGTTACATATATGAACTGTAGTGATTTTTATTTCCAATCTGTATCTATATAAAAGGCTCTCTGAAGAAAATGTAATGTAGCACATAGAATAAAATAAAATAAGCATGATTAAAGATTGTTGATTGACAATTTTCAACTATTTTTTCTTGTTTAGTATTTCAAGTACCTCTTTCAAGAAGTTGAATCCCCAACACGCAATTCCAAGTCAAACAAGTAAGTATAATATATGTGCATGTGCTGAATGTTTTAAAGAATGCATCTGTTGGATGTGTTCTCTATGATTCTCATTAATTTATGAAAATTAAATATTACGTATCCTTGGCTGTAATTTATGTCATTCTTTTGAGTACAGGTAGTTCTCTGGTTACAATGGCAATTGGGACAGGAATTTCCATCACTAAGCAATGTGGTCATAAAGCGTGATGTCATGTGACCACATTGCTTAGCAATTGCAATCCTGGCAGTCCCAGTTGCCATCGTAATCCCAGGACCACACAGGTCATTAAGTAGAAAGAGGCAGGAGTCCCAGGCAAACAGGCTGGTGGGTGAGAGCTATGGGTGGGTGGGGTGCCGCAGGCAGGCGCTAGGGAGCATGGGCAGGCGCTGTGGGACCAGAGCTGCAAGTCCTCCGTGCTGCATGCTACTGCCAATGGCGCAATCCACCCACCAGGCAGCGAGGTGGGGATACTTCCACAGCGCCTCCCCTGTGTGTGGCCAGGATGCCTGGTGGTGATTCTTGGCAGCTGCTCAGCCAAAGGCTTCCCACAGAGCAAGGCAGCCAGAGAGGGAGTCGGTGGCAAGCCCAGCAGGGAGGAGGCAGGTGAAAACAAAGATCAGCTGGGGGTGGTGGGGGGCAGTCATAAATGCGGGGCAGTCGCCAAGCACCTGAATTTTGATCATGTGAGCACAGGGGCCGGGGCTTCACGGACCAGATGTAAGTCCATTTTTTCAATACCACTGTAACTTTGAATAGTCACTGAACAAATGGATGTAACCCAAGGATTACCTATATTCTGTCTTCTGTCAGTGAAAATAAGATCTTTAACATGGCCATATTAAAGAGAGGCAGTAGACATCCTGTTTCTTTGTACCCAATATGATGCCCAAAGACAAGTGTGCCTATTGGACATGGCCTTTGGTGCCTACTAGCTCCTTGCCCTATCAAATTTCATTTATTCATTCATTTCATTCGTTTATTTTTTATTCTTTTAATTTTATTTATTTATCAAATTTATATCACCGCTCAACTCCCCCACAAGGAGGGACTCTGGGTGGTTTAATTTAAAAATAAATGGGAAGTTACCATGTGGCAGAGCTCCACACCAGTTTCTGTTTAGCAAAGTTTTGTGTAGAGCACCGTTTCAACACTGCTTCATGAAATAGCACACTTCTGCAAAAATTAACTAAAGCTGCTGGGAAGTTTTGCTTCATATTGCTTTCCAGCAGTTCCACGAAACAGGACAAGTTTCTGTATTACCAGCTCTGTTGTGTGAGCAGCTTGGAGAAACACACTGAGCAAATTGCACCAGTGATTGTGTCAAGGTGAAGCATAACTACTTCACACTGATTACTAATTATCTCATTGGCTTCTCCAATAAAATAAAATTCTATCATAGAAAATGCAGTTTTGTTGTCTTGCTGCATCTTTTTTGTATGGAGGGATCCACAAAAAGAAATCCATTTTTGCTCCTAGTTCCCTTTTACTTGATTGGAGCAATGGATGTAAAATAATGTGCTAAGCTCTTATATTAGTTTTGCCAATATGAACACTTAAGATATATCCCTTTGGAGGATTTGAATTTTCTCATTTTGAAATTATTATGTGGTGTGCTGTTTGCTGTTTGTTTTGCACAGAAGCATGCATAGAAGAGGAGAATCATCTGGAATCAGAAGTATAAGCAGCAAAATTAAAGGAGTATTCAAGAGTACTACAATGGAAGGGGCTGTGCTACCCAACTATCTCCTTGCTGAAGGAGAGGATGATTTTGTGAGTTGAGCTAACAATTCTGATTGCACAGCTCAGCATTCATTGTGTGTATTTTATTGCACATCTGCCAAGCCTTTCTGCATTGTTCTTTTCATCTATTCTAAGTCTTTTCTCATTTTACTTTATGTCTGCTGACTATCAACATAACTTATACCATGACCATGAGTTTTCATTAATGAAGCACTGTTATTTATATTTGGGATCATGTGCCACTTTTGTAAATTAATCCTCCCCATCCTAGATACCTTTCATTTGTGTAGACTTCAGTTCCTAGAATTTCCAGTATCAATTACTCTAGCTGGGGAATTTCAGGAGTTAAAATTCACATAATTGGAGATGCCGGTGTCTGTGGGGAAGGGGGTATCAAAGGAAAAAAAAGGCCAGGATGTCATAGCAGCATGTTCAAAGCTCCACCCCTTTGTGCATGAATTGTCATCACATACACCTACAAAGAGATGGGGCTTCCATATTGCGTTTCATACATAATTAAATGCAAAACTCTTAATTCAGTGTTTCAGCATAATATGATTTGATGGCCTGCTGTAGAATGCAGTTTTTTAGAATTAATTCTTATTAATTTTAGAATTAATTCTTATTAATTTCCTGAGTAATTCTTCCTGTTTGCTGTCCAGTTTGCTTATGCTTTAAGAAGCCGTAGATATTTCCACTGGTATACAGGTAGTCCTCGTTTAGTGACTGTTCAGAGTTATGATGGTGCTGAAAAAATAAAGTTATGATCTTCACAGTGTCTCTCAGTCATGTGATCACCATTACAGTCAGTACACGTTGTCCTGTGCCTGACCTGTTGTTTTTCTTTTTCTTTTCCCCCTTGCAGAATGGAGAGATTGGAGAGGAAGGGATTACAAGAGAGTGAGCAGGCACACAATGGGGAATACACCAGGCTATTTGCATAATGCACTTATAGCTGCTGGCACCAGTGCAGTGCTTCTGATGTGTATTCCTCATTGTGTGCCTGCTTATTCTCTTGTAATCCCTTCCTCTCCAAAGAATGTAAATATAAACATTAATTCCTTTTTGCTAATTATCCCAGGACTTAATGGGGTAAGCATTCCAAAGGGCGGGGGAGTGGGGAAAATGAAAGCACAGTCGCAGTCATGTGATTTCCCACTTAGCGACCACTTTGCTTAACAACAGAGCTGCCAGTCCCAATTGTGGTCACTAAATAAGGACTACCTTTACAGCTGCAAAACTTGTGTGCATGGCAGTATTGGGAGAAATTCCTCACAATCAAACATCTTTGGATTTATGTTGCTTACTTTCAAATTCTTTGTCACTGTCAAAAAATTGTGTTCTCTGTGATAGAAGCATTGAGTCAATTCAGTACAATGTTAATCATAACATATATTGTTTTCAGCTTAAAGCAAGCTTGTGGTAGAGTTCATATTTGGGTTTTAAAAAAATGAAATCAGTGCAAATCTTCCATCATATTATGGTTAAATGGGGAAAACATTCCCCAAATCAGTGCTATTTTTGCAGAAGATAACTTTACATTTATTCAACTTCAGTGCAGCCTTATTTTTTATTGTACAATTTTCGTTTCCATTTTGATTAAATAGTTTGTAATGTTTAACACCTCCCCTTCCACTGTGAATAGAGTGGAAGAACAGGATCTATATTATATACATGCTACAATAAATGTAGTCACATAGCCTGAAACGATCTTTGATGTGGGAATTTTTACCGTAGATTGAAGAAGGCATTATGGTAATGGAAGACGATTCACCTGTGGAGGCACTTAGCATGCCTAATACACCTCGCAATCTTGCTGCTTGGAAAATTACCATTCCTTATGTTGACTTTTTTGAAGACCCCTCACTTGAAAAGAAAGAAAGGAGAGAGAGAATTCCTGTATTTTGCATTGATGTGGAAAGGAATGACAGAATGGCACGTAAGCATTGTCAGAAGTATGCACAAAGTCTTCCAATAGTCTTACCATTTACACCCAGTTTGACACCCATTTTATCTCAGATAACGTTTCCAAGATTGTTAAGCCTTGAAAAATGGAAGAATGAAAACATCTGAACTGATGATTTACAACATGAAGAACTGCTCTAGAATATGGCATCCATGGCAGATTGGGTTTGTTTTGTGAACGCATCGGGGGAAGCTTAATGGAGGGATAAGAGGGATAAGATCCCTTTTAGGCCCTACTTTTGTTTGTCCGTGCTGAGGACACTTCCCATGTCCTCCAGGAGGGGGAAAAACAGCTCCTCTGGGGTATGCCTTCACATACTGCCGTGTATCTTTCCCTGTCAAGAGTGGTATCCAGACCTTCTTTTTCATCTGCGAAAAGGTAAAGGCATCTGCAGATAAAATGCAGTCAGTCTTCTTGCCAGCAGGCTTAGGAGATTACACTTGGTGACATTTTCTTTCACAGCAGGTGGCAGCACACAGCCAGACTTGGCTGATCCCAAAAAGTAAGTAAGACTTGTTAGTTCTGGGTTGAGAGACTACCAGGAAATCCCAGGGCTATAGACTAGACTGGAAAGTTGAAAAAACGTCTCAGAGAAAGGCAGGACAAGCCACTTCTGTGTTGCTGTCTAGACAACTCCATGGATGGGTCCTGAACTCCCCAGGGTCAAACTTGGTAAGAAGGAGCGTTTACCTTAACAATGACAACAGATATGTGTTAGATATGTGTTTCTGTCAGGTTCAGCCCAAGAAACTCCGCGGGACAGTTCTGGAATTGTTCAGTTACTTTATTAGCTTACACCTGCTAGACAGAATCTTGCCAGACTAACTCTAACCCCCAAAGTCTGCAACTAAACACTACGAATTCCTTAGGGTGGTGCCGGTTTGCTTTGCTTTGCTTTGCTTTGCTTTCTTTCTTTGCTTTCACACGCTCAGGCTGTGGACTAAGGAGATGCTTAAAATTCTTCTCCCCATGACCTTGAACCTCCTCATCCAAGTCCTCCATCACAGTTTCCTTGTAAAATTATTTTATTCTGGACAAATTAAAAATGATAATTTTCTCTCTGTATTTTCAGTTGGGCATAAACCTGAGCACTGGTCAGTCTATAGAAGATATCTTGAGTTTTATGCTCTTGAATCAAAACTAACAGAATTTCATGGTATGCTTTCTCTACCACCTCATTTTGGGGATTTTGTTATGTAACAGGAACATTATTTAGCTTTGTATAAGTGAAAATAAACTTTCAACATATTTAAATTTTATTGTATGATCAGGTACATTCCCTGATGCTCAGCTTCCTTCGAAGAGGATTATTGGACCAAAGAATTATGAATTCTTAAAGTCAAAGAGAGAGGAATTTCAAGAATACCTTCAGGTAGGAGAAAACCTGTGTTGATGTGTATAAATCACAGGAATTATTATATTTCCTAATAGAGAACGACTTTTGTCTGAAATACAAATTACAGTTACTATCTTTACCCAGCATAATTTACTAATCAGGCTTTAAATTGTCTTTGATGGAGAGAAGTCCACTAGAGCATAATTTTTTTTATCTTCCTCACAGAAACTTTCACAACATCCAGAGTTAAGCAACAGCCAACTTTTGGCTGACTTCTTATCCCGCAATGGTGGAGAGACACAGTTTCTTGATAAAATATTGCCTGATGTAAATTTAGGTAAGAAAAGTGCTATTACTGAAAAAAATGAATTCAGAATTGAGCTTCGAATATAAGAGACATTAAATCAATTCACAGCTGCCATTCAAATCTAAATATGATTTATTGGCACATTTGCACCACATGATAGTGATGCTTCCATATGAGTATAAGGATTTCCACTTTAGTACTTCTCTATAAATGAAAGCTAAATAAGAGCTTTTATAGTATCTGTACAAAAAATTGTTATGGTTTAGCTTGGAATCCACAGATCATAAGATAGAAGTAGAACAAGGGATGATTTTTATTGATTTTCCCCGTGACCTCTGATAAATTGTGTCTGGATTCTGTGAACATTATTTATCAGAGTCTATTAATGCTTAGACTCTTAGTTGCTTATGTGGGCACATGATGGTGGTGAAGACTCTAAGCAAATCGTATAATGAGTAACTTTTTGATATGATAAAAGAAAAATCTGTTTCATGAATGTAAATATGAAATAGAGAAACAGACAGCCCAAACAGCTTATAACGTTAGAGAAGAAACAAGGGATTTGTTAAAAAATAGTTCATGATTTTTTAAAAATCTTTCTTTCTTTCTTTCTTTCTTTCTTTCTTTCTTTCTTTCTTTCTTTCTTTCTTTCTTTCTTTCTTTCTTTCTTTCTCTTTTGTTATGTAGGTAAAATCATAAAATCTGTTCCTGGAAAACTAATGAAAGAGGTAGGATATCTTGCTTCATTGTTATCTATAAATAGTATCTGTTAACCAGTGAATTTACAATGTAGTTTGTATGGAAACTTGTCCATTCTAACTATTTTTGGGTTAATTTCAGAAAGGCCAGCACTTGGAACCATTCATTATAAATTTTATTAATTCCTGTGAGTCTCCCAAGCCTAAACCAAGTAAACCAGAAATTACTATTCTCAGTCCTACTTCTGAAAACAACAAAAAGGTATAGTATGTCCACTACAGAAAAACAGGAGAAAAATGGACCAGTAAGGAAGTGTACAAAATATAAATATGACACTAGTTAATAACTCGCTCTATTAGGATGATTAATATATTTTTGTTTGGGTGTTTTATGTATCATTTTCTTGCATTTCCCTTACCATCACCACATTTACTGTGGAAAACCATGTTTGGCACATCTATTAAGAAACAAAGATTCTTGGTGGGTATGAAACCTAGTATTGTAAAAATTAAATACTACTTATAACCTATTATAATTTTTTTGGGGAGGGAACACTTTTTAAAATTATTATTTTTGGCCTCCAAGGACTGGTGGTAGAATAGCTTTGATCCAATGACATTATAGATTAGGTGGATTTGAAATGTTCAGCCTTTTTTACTTAAGGAAGTTGAGGGGAATACACAGAAAAAGCTTAGTTACTTTAGTTTATGGGGGGGGGAAGACACCTCCCACCTGTTTGCCCCTAAAGTTTGGCCGCATTATTTGCGGCCACCAAAATGGATCTGAGGGGCTGTTTGCTGCCCAAGTTCTTATCATAAAATGCTGGAAAACTGAAATATATATATTTCTTTGGACCAGTGAGTATTTAAAATGAAGAAAATGGGTTTAACTGAAAAATTAACACAAGAGGTATTGAAAACCTGTACTATAATTTTACTGAAATGCATTAGGAAAAATGCTGCTATACATTAACCATCTTTTTCCTAGTGGCTTAGAAGTCAGGAATATTCTGAATAAAAACATTAAATATGGATGTTTAAAATGTTTCTATTATACTTTAAATTACACAGATTCATCATATATATATGCATACTCACAAATTTCTCTTGTTTATTTCCCCTAACATTTATGAGAGTTTAAATTTTCTTTTTGAACTTTGTACCAAGCACTTAACAACCTTAAGGTTTAATGTAAGCTGTTGAGTGGAATATATGCCCGATTAAAAAGTAATTGTTGGCATTTTGAAGGATGTTAATATACAGTACGTTAACCAAGATTCTCCTGTAATGAAAGATTGGTTAAATGGTGAAATGTCACCAAGCTTGTCAAAGTTAACCTGCCTTGTTTAGCTCAGCTATTCTGCCTTTGAGAAATGCAACCCATAATATCAAAAGAGCTTGAACAGCAACATCCTGTGGTCATACTTACTTAATGTTCAAAGCAGGGTAGAAAGGAGGAGGAGGAGGAGGAGCCGCCATTGCAGTCTTTATAGTATATGAAATAATGGGCTGCCTTTCAAAATACTTTGAAACCTTGGATAGCTGCCATTCTGGTGTTGTGAGAAGGAATTCCCACTGAATCCACCCATAATTAATGAAAAACAATTTTGTTTGGTGACAAATTCCATAATGTTTGTGCTTTTTAAAAACTTGATTTTCTCTGGTTTTAGCTTTTTAATGAACTCTATAAAAACAATGCAAACCGCTCTGAGAATTTAGAAAGAAGACAAAATCAGAACTATTTCTTGAAAATGATGACGGTTGAAGGAGTATATGACTACTTAATGTATATTGGTAAGAAATTGCTGGAAGGTTTTTCTGAGAATGAAAACATAACTGTGTGTTGTGGAAGTGGAGTAAGTGCAAGTGAACTGATTTTGTTTTCTCCTTTTGTAATATGAGGACTGGTACGTTGGTGAAATCAGCACCGCTATCTGTGCATTTTAATTATTTGGTTTAGAATATTAATTAATGAAGTACAGAAAATCTCTAGGAAAATTGTTTGGTCACAGGCAAATGAAACCAAAAAATTTTGGGGAAAAGATGCAAGCCACACGTACTTGTTCCTGATTTCATGGGATCTATCAGTGAAATTCTAGCCAGGAAAAAGTATAAAATGAGGGTTGTCACAGTCATAAATTCCTTGTTAGATTCTTAGAAAGGCAGACTTCTGCAAAATGGAAGAAAAGCTATTAAAACATACTGCCCAGGTATCTAACTCTGTCCCTGGTAAATATGCATTGATAAAGATTCTTGACACATGAATATTTTGCAATTTGAGAGAGAAATAATATTATCTCAAATGACCTTAGTATAAATATATGATGAACATGAAAGAGTAACAATTAAATAAATATTAGGTTTTGAGAATAAAAGGGGAACTCATACTGAACTCACATTTAAGCTACTCAGCATGGACAATTCAGTCATTTCTTATTTGTGTATTATTTAGAAAAACCTGTTATGTCATTCACTGTATAGTGTAAGCCTTGATTTAGGAATGTGTTATTTGAGAGTGTGAATGCTGTGCTATGCTGTTAACTTTATAATCTTTTGAGTCGATTTTTGCCTGTTCAGACTGTAATAGAAATGTGTTTTAGTAGACAATATGTTGTTTGGGTTTAGAGAATGATTTAGAGATAAATACTATGAGTTTAAAATTCTAGAGACATGCTCGGGGAAAGTTCAGATTGGTTGATTTGTGGGTGAAAATCCCTTGACATTGTGTTCATTTTCCTTGGTAAAACTCAGGGTTGGACAGGAGGTTGTGGGACAGGGAGAAATTAAATGGAATCTTCTGATTGCCACTTCTTAAAAATACTACTCAGTGGTAGGTAAACACAGAGTGATTTTGCTTTGAAAAGTAAACTCTGAGTGGAGCTGGAATTCTTTCATGGATAACTCATTGTATTTTTCTTGGCAAGAATATGGGAGTAGTTTGCCACTGCTTTCTTCCAGGATGTTTTTTTCAACTTTCCAGTTTAACCAAGGTTTAGCCTTGGTACTCCCTGAATGTCTCCCTTCCAGGGAGGATGAAGTTTCCCAACTATGCCTAGAAACCTTCTAAGCCCAGGGAAGGTCAAATACCTACTGAGACAATCCATCCCCAAATTCTATAAGACAAGGATATTTCTGTTTTTGTAGCAAGTGAGCATGAGTTCTTGAGAATTACCATCCCTTAGAGGTGGGAAGACCACTTCGTTTTCAAGAACCAGGAATCAATATCTCTCAAATCCTGTATGTCACAAGCAAATGAAAGCCAAGATCTGCAGGCCACAGGGAAGTCAGCCAAGGGCTGGGTGTGTTCAGTGATTTGTTCATTTGTGTCTTATTGGATTAGGTCAAGATCAGGCTAATCCAACTACAGATCTATTTACTGTAGTTAGATATCTACAGTAAATGAAGACAATAATTCTCCTGGTACTTAAGGTATTCTTGTTCTCAGTATCAAAGCTGAACAATTGCATCATATTCCATAATTGGCATTTGATAGATACCTGGAAAATAAGCTTTTTAATAGTGTAAAATCTAAAAATATAAGTTGAGAAGGTGGACTTTTAGTCAAAGATTTAGCAGTTGCTTTGATGTTAAACTGTGTATTCTAAAAATAATATAAAAGGTATGTCTATGTTACAGCTAGAGTTGTTTTCCATATTCCTGATTGGTTCCATCACATCTTGATGGGAGGAAGGATTCTCTTCAAAAACACTTTAGAAAAGTATACAGACAACTACTTGCAGTACAAACTAGAACAGCTCTTTCAGGAACACCGACTGGTCTCACTGATAACACTTCTCAGAGGTTAGTAGAAAGCTGCAAATTAACTGTTGTTGTCAAAGATGTTGTTCTACTTCCATGGAGCGGGGTTGGCAGCGTATCAGGCAGAATATGTTATAGCAAAAGCTAAATAAAGCATGTTTAATTTTAAAATGTTATTCTGGGGTCAAGTCTCTTTTATTTAAGTGATTTAAATTAGTCAACTAAAATTAAAGCAAGTCTGTGTGGTTAGTTCTACATTGTCCACAATTTTTTTTTTTAGATGCTGTGTTTTGTGAGAATTCTCAACCTCGTTCTCTCCAAGATAAGCACAAACGGGCAAAGCAGACCTTTGAAGAAATGATGAAATACATTCCAGGTTCAGTGTTTATGTGGCATGATTTATCAAGAAGAGAGGCAGTCTAAATGACCAAATCCATCAGGTTGAATGGCACATGTTAATATAAACATTTACTGTATGTTTATCAAAGCATTCTAGTGTGGAAGGAGGGTAGGATTTAGAAATAGCTTCAGATGTATCGCCTTGCTAAAACTCATGAAACACAAATAGACTTTATGGGTATTGGTCTTTTCCTGCCCCCTTACTAGCCTTATTCTAATATTGGCAGTGACAGAAGCAGGTACTGCATGTAGCATCCTCAGGAAGCAATATGCCCTTTGAATAATATGGGCTGTGCTGTGATATTCCTGCCATTCAGTGTTTAGTGAAAAAATATAGAGGTTAGAAATGCCCTGACTTTAATATGTGAGGCAGATTTTAAGCCACATGCAGGCAGTGCAGTTTCCATATATATAAACTCTGTGATTATTGAAGCTATGCTCACTGCTTTCCAATTAACATTGTGCCGCTGTAGGCTTGGTGGGCAATTGAAAAGACTCCCTGGTAGATTGACTGCTAGGTAGAATTGTTCCTTTACTGCAGATCTTCCAAATGGGTTTGAATTACAGCTGTCAGGCAGTGTAACTTCAGTAGTGAGGAATGGAGCACGTTTCCCAACCCTACTCTGTATGAAGGCAAAATCAGATGGAATCCAGAATGCTATGCTAAATGGAACCAAAAGATGACCTCTTCTTCATTACCACTATTTCTCCCAGATGAGTGACAAGACTTCAGGAAACCAATTTTGTTCTTAAATATCCAAAAGACTGTGGGTAATAGAGAAAGAAATTTTGGAGAATGGAGGCGAAGGAGGCAGCAAGCAAACAAGCAAACAAAAACCCCTGAAGATTTAGGAAGTGACTAAAGGATTGTGCTGAGGCTGAACTTTGGTAGTAGCTTCACAAAAACATTCTGAATCCCCTTCTCAAAACCAGCATCTCATCCCAGAACATAATCTATGCAAAATGCCAAAATGGACATGGACGTTTACAGGGCATGTCACACTCCCTGCTCCATAGAACTAGGTTCCAGATTCATTGGGCGCTTTATTGGGTCTCATTTTACAAAACAAGGATTTCTTTCAACTGCTAAGACAAGTGGTTCACAAAAAAGAAAAAGGAAATCTGGCTCTGAAAATGTGGGTTGAATGACAATGAGGTAATCATGCATCTAGGGAAGGACAAGAAACTCTTCAAGGTCAAGCGAATCCCAGGTTAATCCTAGAGCTAGGTCAAGGCCATAAAAGATCAGTGGTCCGATCATGGGAAATGAAAATTAATGATATGATTGAATTAAGCTATTTGACTAAATGTTTCAAAAAACATGCTGTGGAAGGCAAGCTGTTGTGTTTTATTTTAAATACAAGCACAATTCTCACTGACCATCTAAATATCTTGGATTTTCCATCATGCAGAGAAATTAGATTGGGGAGGCATTGCATGAGGGCTTTGGATGAGACTTTGATTACCTGATTGGAGGAGTGGAAATGCTTTGGGACTGAGCAATAACGGGGGATTGGGGATTAGTAGAGAGTTGGACATAAGATAAATGTTTGTGCATAGCAGCAGTTCTGTGTGGGCAACTCCTTCTAATTTAATCATTAAGGAAGTACCTGAACAGCTAGGCTGAGATGTTACCCAGCTACCCAGGGCATTTTTCTCATCCTTGCAAGCTGCTGTGGAGTTGCACAGTTGGGGGCTGCTTCAAAATAAATGTCCTGCCTCCCCAATCTAATTTCTCTACATGATGGAAAATCCAAGATATTTAGATGATTAATGAGAATTGTGCTTGAAAACAAATTAGAAGTCAATGTAGGAGCATTATACATGTAATCTACATAGTGCAAATTACATCAGATTTTGCATTAGCTTAGTTTCTGACTGTTACGGCCCTGCTGGAGAACATGTTCTCAGATGAGGAAGATGAGACCCAGCACGTTTCCAGGAACCCTCATTCACACTCATTGATGTCCTCTCAGACTCAGAAGTACAGTTCTAAGTCCTGTAAATTCAGGAGCAGAGGGCTGAACTTCACAGATCTGAGAAGCAGCTAAAAGGCATGGGAGTGCTAGCAGAGAGCAGTTTCTGCATCTCCTGTGTGATGTCTCTTAGCTGTGCGCCAGCTGGAGACTCAATGTGGCTTATTTATTGCATTCCTTCCTTCTGAAAAGTGCTGAGAACAGCTCTTCAAAACTCAGCTTGACCTGCATTTATGATGCTTTGCCATGTCTTGGACCCTGTATTTTGCTTCACCTTTTCCATTGTCTCTCCTCTGGATTGGTCATTTGATTGCTTGCTTACCAGTCTTGATCCATGCCTGACCTGTCTGGCCATGAGCACAGTCTAGGCTCCAAGTAGTACAGAAAGACTTTTTCAAAGGCTGCTTATTTTCTATTGTGAAACAGTCTGAGTTCACTATCAAATTTATAGTCTGCTAATTTACATTCCATCAGGCAGCTGAGCTAGCACAAAACATTGAGCACTTTTCTAAGGGGAAGCCCTTGATAGAGCATGCTGTCATAATTAAATGGGAAGTAATTAAACCCAAGTTCTCCAAGACCACACTTGTCTTCTACAGGAAGGGGCAGAAGTATAGTACCTGAAGAGATTGCATTTATTTAACCTCCTAGAAGCACTATATATCCTGGATTAAATCTGTTGGTTCACCAACATCCAGCCCATTACTCCTCCAAGCAACAACTCAGGATTTCCATCATTTTCTTCCCACAAGTGGAAAAAAAGAAACATTGTGATCATCTCTTCCAGTGCCTTCATGTAGATATTTGAAAATGTAAGGGATGAAAGAGACCCCTGAGGAACTCCCTGTAAGCCATAGGGCTGAGCAGTAGGACCCCGCTACCCCCATCTGGAACATATAGCTAAATGGTACTGGAATTTTTGTAAATTAGTATGCCATAATCTGATATCAACCACTATTCCTAAAAGTATCAAAAGATCTACTAGAACTAAAGGGTGCATATGCTTGCCTGGTTTCCAGAGATTATTCATTAATATGAATAAAGCTATAATCATTCCTATAGTCAAAGACAAACAGTCATCCTGTAGCCATCCTGTAGTCAAAGACAAATAGTCATCCTATAGTCAAAGACAAATGCAAGAAGTTGGGAGTAGACTGTGTCTAGAATAAACTGAATTATAAAGGGATTAACTCTGTTGTATCTTGATTAATTTAATGAAGTTTTTCTGAGTTGACCTAAATCATGCTAAATTACTTAGCAGAAGAGGGACTATCAAGATAGTAATGCACTAAGGCAGTAAGTGATACCATTGTTTAATCATTACCTTTGAATAGGTCATGATAAGCCCTCATCCAAAAATGAGGTCATTTATTAGTCTCTCTCCCCATCACCCTTCTTAGTCTCTCCCATCATCATCATCATCATCATCATCATCATCATCTTAAATTTATTGGCCACCCAACTCCAGTGGACTCTAGGTGGCATACAAAACTAGGGAAAACATAAAAACAGCTAAAACACTGAATCACACAGACAGCCCAGCCTAAAATAATCTACTGGACAGCAAAATCAACAAAACAAAATTAGGGCCATTGAACAAATAACAAACATCAACCCCAGGCCTGGGACCAAAGCCAGA